AATATATATAGATAGAGAGAGACAGACAGACAGAGATTTATCTTAAATAAATGGCTCATGCAGTTGTAGAGGCTGGGAAGTCCCAAGTCTGTGGGTCAGGCACCAGGCTGGAGGCTTCTCCTGACTCACATAGCTTCAGGAACTGATGAACTCAAGATCGGCAGGTCAGGCGGCAGGCTGCTGGCTCAAGTCTCAAGAACTGGAGGTCAGATGATGACAAGCTGGATGCAGGATCCAGAGAGCAAAATCCAGCAAGCTTTTCCAGAACATCCATATATACTGAATGCAGGCCACACCCCCAAGAAAACGCCCCTTACAACTGATTGGCTGATCACATCAGATTACATCATGGAGGTGATTACATTGTACCACAAAATGGATATGATGGAGGATAAACTACATCATTACATAACTAACAATCTACATAATTACATAACTGCCAAACCACTGAGAATCACGGCCCAGCCAAGTTCACACACAACCTTAACCATCACAAATCTACAGATCAATTGTGGAAGAACTGTTATCTATACTAAGTCTTCTAATCCATCTCTATTTTCTGGAAGAGTTTGTGTAGAATTAGTTTTTTTCTTCCTTAAATATTTGGAAGAATTCACCTGTGAAGCCACCTGGGTCTGGGCTGTTCTTCAAGGGAAAAGTATTAATTACAGACTCAATTTCTTTAAAAGCTGTAGGATTAGTCAGATTTTTTTTCTTCTAGTGTCAGTTTTGGTAAGCTGTGCTTGTTCAAGGAATGCATCCACGTCATCAAAGTGTCAAATTTATTGGAATACACTGTTTATAACGCACTCTTATTGTCTTTTTAATGTCTGCCGGAGCTGTGGTATTTTCCCTTTTACATTTTCTACACTGGTAACTTATAGAGTCTCCTTTCCCCTTTATCAGTCTTGCTAACTAAATCCACTGCCAAAGAGTCAATTCTGACTCATAGCGACCCTATAGGACAGAGTAGAACTACCCCATACAGTTTCAAAGGCTGTAAATCTTTACAGAAGCAGACTGTCACATCTTTCTCCCGTGGAGCAGCTGGTGGGTTTGAACCGCCGATCTTTCAGTTAGCTGCCAACTGCTTTAACCACTGCACCACCAGGGTTCCTTCAGTCTTGCTAGGGGTTTATCAATTTTAATTAACTTTTAAATTGTTTATTTTCTTTATTTATTTTCATGATTTCTACTATTATTTTCATCATTCCATTTACTGGGGTCTACTTTGCTCTCTTTTTCATTCTTCTTGGGCTGAAAGCTTAGATGTTTGATGTTCAGCATTTCTTATTTTCTTCTAAAATACATTTTTCTCTAAGAACTGATTCAATTACAACCTACAAATTTTGAAATGTTGTACTTCTATTATCATTCAACTCATAATATTTCCATTATTATTACTTCTTTGACAGATGGGTTATTTAGAAATGTGCTGCTTAATTTCCAAACATTGGGAGATCTTCTAGTTTGTTCTTTCATTGATTTCTAGTTTAATTCTATTCTGGCAAAAGAACTTACTGTGTGTGGTATTAACCTTTTTTGAAATTTCTGTGAGTTGCTGTACGGCCAGGCCTCCGTCTATTTTGATAAGTATTCCATGCGCCCTTGAAAAACAGCTATTCTGCAGTTGCTGGAAATGGTATTCTATCAGTTTAGTTGACGTTGGTTGTGCTGTTCAAGTTTTATATACCCTAACTCACTTTTTTCTGCTGCTTCTGTCACTCACTGTGTTAGGTGTGTTAAATCTAAGAATAATTATAGGTTTGTATATTTCTCCTTTTACTTTTGTAATTTTTTATGCATTTCGAAGTTTTCTTATTAAGTGCATTCTTGTTGAATCCACCCTTTTATTATTAAAAAAAAGTCCCTGTATGTCTTTAATATTTCTTCTTTCCTTAAAGTCTACTTTGTCTGACATAAATTCATCCACCTACGAGCAGCTGATACTTGACAAAGGCCCAAAGTCTGTTAATTGGGGAAAAGACAGTCTCTTTAACAAATGGTGCTGGCATAACTAGATATCCATCTGCAAAAAACTGAAACAAGACCCATACCTCACACCATGCACAAAAACGAACTCAAAATGGATTGAAGACCTAAATATAAAATCAAAAACAATGAAGATCATGGAAGAAAAATAGGGACAACGCTAGGAGCCCTAATACATGGCATAAACAGAATACAAACTGTAAGTAACAATGCACGAACACCAGAAGAGAAACTAGATAACTGGGAGCTCCTAAAAATCAAACACTTATGCTCATCAAAAGATTTCACCAAAAGAGTGAAAAGACAACCTACAGACAGGGAAAAAAGTTTTGGCTATGACAAATCCGATCAGCATCTAATCTCTAAAATCTACAAGATACTGCAAAACCTCAACAACAAAAAGACAAATAACCCAATTAAAAAATGGGCAGAAGATATGAACAGGCACTTTGCCAAAGAAGATATTCAGGCAGCTAACAGACACATGAAGAAATGTTCACAATCATTAGCCATTAGAGAAATGCAGATCGAAACTACAATGAGATATTATCTCACCCCAACAAGGGTAGCATTAATCCAAAAAACACAAAACAATAAATGCTGGAGAGGTGGAGAGACTGGAACACTTATACACTGCTGGTGGGAATGTAAAATGGTACAACCACTTTGGAAAATGATTTGGCACTTCCTTAAAAAGCTAGAAATAGAAGTACCATATGATCCAGCAATCCCCCTCCTTGGAATATATCCTAGAGAAGTAAGAGTCATCACACGAATAGATATATGCACACCCATGTTCACTGCAGCACTGTTTATGATAGCAAAAAGATGGAAACAACCTAGGTGCCCATCAACGGACAAATGCATAAACCAATTATGGTACATACACACAATGGAATACTACACAATGATAAAGAACAATGAGGAATCCGAGAAATATCTCCAACATGGATGAATCTGGAAAGCATTATACTGAGTGAAATTAGTCACAAAAGGACAAATACTATAAGAGACCACTATTTTAAGAACTCAAGAAAAGGTTTAAACACAGAAGAAAACATTCTTTGATGGTTATGAGGGTGGGCAGGGAGGGAGAGGGGAAGTCACTAGATAGTAGACAAGAATTATCATAGCTGAAGGGAAGGACAACACACAATACACGGGAAGTCAGCACAACTGGACTAAACCAAAAGCTAAGAAGTTTCCTGAACACAACCAAACACTTTGAGGGACAGAGTAGCCGGCGTGTGGGTCTGAGGACCACGGTTCCAGGGGACACTTAGGTCAATTGGCATAACAAAGTTTATTAAGAAAATGTTCTGCATCCCACTTTGGTGAGTGGCCATCTAAGATGCATCAATTGGTCCCAACCCACCTGGAACAAAGGAGAATGAAAAACACCAAAGGAACACACAAGGAAAATATTAGCCCAAGAGAGAAAAGGGCCACATAAACCACAGACTTCATCAGCCTGAGACCAGAAGAACCAGACGGTGACCCGCTACCACCAATGACCACCCTGACAGGGAACACAACAAAGAGTGCCTGACGGAACAGGAGAAAAGTGGGGTGCAGAGCTCAGATTTACATAAAAAGACCAGACTTAATGGTCTGACTGAGACTAGAGGAACCCCTGAAGACATGGCCCCTGACTTCTCTTTTAACCCAGAACTAAAACCACTCCCAAAGCCAACTCTTCAGACAAAGATTAGAGTGGACTATAAAACATAGAATAATACTCGTGAAGAGTGTGCTTCTTAGTTCAAGTAGATACATGAGACTAAATGGGCAGCTCCTGTCCGGAGGCTGGATGAGAAGGCAGGAAGGGACAGGAGCTCGTTGAATGGACATGGGAAACCCAGGGTGGAAAGGGGGAGTGTGCTGTCACCTTATAGGGACTGCAGCTAAGGTCACATAACAATACGTGTATAAATGTTTGTATGAGAAATTAACTTGAGCTGTAAACTTTCACGTAAAGCACGATAAATTTTTTTAAAAATCTACTTTGTCTAACAACACGGTCGGACCAGATTTCCTCTGGTTAGTGTTTATGTGGGGTATCATGTTCCATCCTTTCACGTCCAATCTGTGTCCTCCTAATTAAGGTGTATCTCTTGTAAATATCATAGTTGTTGTTGCTTAATCCCCTCAGACCATCTTAGCTTTGCAGCCTCCTGTACCACACAGGTTCAGACCACAGGTTCAAGGTCTGACAAATGCCTGGCTGCGTGTCTGTCCCAGATCCCGCCCTTTACCTTTCCAGTCCCAGCACTGGCCTCCCACACCAACCCCAAAATACCCAAACCAGTCGTCATCCAGTGGACTGGGACTCATGGCGACCCCATGAACTCCAGAACCCAGAACTCAGTAATATTCTTCTAGTTTCCAATCTTTCATGCCAACCCTGAGAGATAGCAAAAAGGTCTACTGACTTATCTAACCTCCTGCAAAGTCCCTTTGCTTGGGGACGTCCAGTCCTCAGCCCACCCCAGGATCAGCCAACACTCTCAGGGTAGAAAGTTGCTAGCAACTGTCAGCTCCCTAAGAAGGGCACTTCTCCCCACCTTGGGAATTTCAGCCGCCCGACATGATGGTTTGCAATGTCTGGTTCGTCCCTCCTTGTTGCAGCAGAATAGCTGCCTGCCGCCCCTGTCACACCTCCCCTGGGGTGTGAATCACCTTGTAGTTTATTAACTAAACGAGTGGGCAAACGCCCAGCGCTCGGACGTGCTCTCACAGGCCTCCCTTATGCCAACCTAAGCATCATCTGTTAACCTCACTTTGCAGATGAGGAACCTGCGCTCTGGGCAGTTCGGTGGTGTGTCAGGGATGGCACACCTGGTAAGGAGACCGGCACCCCAAAGCCTTCTACCTACACTCAGTGCGCCGGTCCTCGGAACCTCGCGTTTGCTGCGCGCAGGAAGGATGGGCGCTCTGGGATGGAGGAAAAGGAGAGGAGAGGCGCGGGGAGAGGAGAGCAGGGAGGGGTGCGTCGCAGGCGTGCGTACCAGCCGGCGGATGTCCCGCTCGCTCTCGCGCTTCGTGCGCTGCACCTCGTCCTGGTGCGCCTGGTAGGCTGCGCGCAGGTCAGCCGCCTTGGCCTTGTCCGCCTGCATGCAGGTGCTGAGCGCCTCCTCAGCCTGCCGACGTGCCGCCTTGAGCTCCAGGATCTCCTGCTGGAGCCGCAGACGCTCGCCATCAAAGGCCCTGCGCGCCTCCTCGCGTGCCTCAGCCAGCAGCGCCGTCTTGACCTTGTCGGCCGCGCCATCCCGCAGCAGGGTCAGCGTGGCCTGCAGCCTCTGCAGCTCGCCCTCCTTGATCTTGGCGGCGCGCGCCGCCTCCTGCTCGTGCTGTCGGATGAGCGCCTCGCGCAGCGCCTGCAGCTCGCGCGTCTTATCCTCGTGCAGCTTGGCGCGCAGCTCCGACAGGAAGGCCGTGTGCCGCCGCTGCTCCTGCTCGCGCTCCAGCCGGACCTCCTGCAGCCGCTCGCGCAGCTTGCCCACCTGCGGTGGGGTGGGGCGGAGAGTAGGTCAGGAGCCAGGTCATGTTTAGGGGGCTGGGCCTGCGGGGGTGTCAGGGTGACGGGTGAGATTAGGGTGGGGACGGAGTCGGTGGGGGGCTGAGGTCTGGGGTTGGGGT